GATGCATAAAAGCAGGCTAAAAGGTCATCAGCTACAGAATGGCCCAGAAAAGCTGATGTTAAGTATCGCGTCTCTACAATGTTCTTTACTGGGTGCCAAAAGTGGATATGTATATCCAACTGCTTCTGCTGTGTCGCTTTATTCAAAGACTCATCAAAAAGCAATGTATAAAACTTGGCATTATCAATGCACTTCAGAAGTAGCATGCTAAAATGAGGTTCAAGTCCAAAATGACAGATATGCACACTTAGATTCACTGCAGGTGAAATGACGTGCTATTGAATTGTCTGGAAACATTGTACTAAATAATTTTCCAGTGTCTTTGGAAGAATTGTAGGAGTAGTAGCTTTCTACAACTTTTAAAGCCCATAAAATCTCAGAAGAAAGAACTTCTTTCCCCAAAGCCCAAGAATCTTCTAAAAAGATGGAGGCAGCAGGAGAGCTGAAGGCAACAGAATTTAAGGATTTAGGGAAACCGACTTAAGGAATCCGATTACTCAAAAAAAATTTCAAAACGCCAAAATAAAAAATATTTAGCACTTTTTTAGCACTCAGAAGAAATTTTAGCACTTTTTAGGCCCTAAAAAAGTTGGGGAAAAAATTTTAGCACTTTTTTAGGACATTTTAGGACAGCAAGAACCCTGCTAAGGAACATCTGCCAGTTGTACTTACGTTTCTTCAGGCTATCATGTGTAACGCCACTATATGTCAAATAAAGCCTTTTTTTGTTGCATACCCTACTTTAAGCTTTATATTCATTTCTGCGCCATTATTCTTTTACCATCATTTAAGTACAAAATAATGTACATCATATTCAAATTTCATGTCAATCGGATGATTTCTTTTAGAGTTATAACAAAAAACGCACTTGCTGCTTAAGTTTTGCACACCAGTGTATGATTTGCCAATTAAGTGTTACGTTGATGTTAACCATGCATCAAACAGAGATGGCAGAAGGTCGATAGTAGGAACTAATGTTTATGCTAGTGGTAATGTGTAAAACCTTTAAGCAGATAAGTGTTTCAATTTCTACCATGAAGACTAAGTATATCCCTCTATCTTAGTCAGCTAAGAAGTTAGTATGGCTAAATAATGTGCTAACAGATTAAAAAAAAAAACTCAAATTAGACATATCAAGCTGCTAGTTGTTTTGAGATAATAGTAGGGCTGCTATTGATTTTTCTAAATCTGATGCTGAGAACTCTTGAAGTAAATAAGTTAAAGTACAGTGCGCAAAAAAAGAACCGATCTTCACGTTCTAGGTCTCAATCCTAATGGTTTGAGGGGATGATCTCAAAGATGCTAATTACTTAGTGCAGTACAGTAGGTATTTTAAGTTACGAAATCAGGTGCAAAAACGTACTTTCTCTGAATAAACATTATCTCTGAATAAAAATTTTTCTTGACTCATTCCGATTTCTGGCCCCCAAAATATCTGAGGTAGCCGCAATCTGGGAAGTATGGTTCCAACAGTTTGGTTTGGTCAGGAGAGCCCTCAATGTTAATTTTGCTTTTTGCATATGTTGCTATATTTCGAAAAAATTTTAACAAAAATTTAAAAATCTTTGCCATAATTATAAAATTTGCATATCCAAAGGTAATTCCATAAAAAAATTAATTTTAGTAAATATTTATTTCATTTAATAATGTTCGAAAAAAATTTGAATTGTAAGGTATGCATTTTATTTTGCTGCATCATTTTAAAGAATATAATTTTATATGGCAAATTAGAAAATTTGAGCAAAATCGGTTGAATAAGTTCCTGAGGAATTGAATTTAAAAATAGTCAGATATTTAAATTTACAAAGGTGCAAACAAATAGATGGTATTGTTTTACCTTCTGCAGTGCTACAGCTTATAGGAAGTGAGTGTTTCTCTATTTTTAGTTATGTGCTGTCATTAGTAGAGTGAAGTATAATTTGTTCAGCGTAGTTTTGTCTTTGTGTTAGTTTTGATTTATCATTTCAATAAATTTTTGTGTAGTTTTAAAATAGTTTTACAGCCATTCAATGAGTTAATGTTTTTTTTAAATAATTTATTAGATGTTTGCAAGTCTTTTTTCAAAGAGTTAAAATTTAATTGATATTTGAGCTAATTATGAAGTCTAGGTCATGTCTGTCCCTTAAGAGTAATTACTGCCCTTTAATCAAAAAAAAGTAAAAAATGAAAAACTTTTATTATCCATAAGACACTTTGATTAAAAGTTGTAAAAAAAAATTTGTTCTTGACACGTTAATTGACGGTATAGGTTACGTATAGATTCAGTAAATGTTTTTTTTTTTTTTTAGAAAAAAAAAAGCATTTTGAATGAATCGAAAAATTTTCAGCTTTGTTGTAAAATTTTTAAATACAATTATAAATAGTCAATTTGAAACAATATTTTTATACTACCATAACTTCGTGGGGATATGCCACCACTGCACCCATAAAATTTGAATAAAAAGAAAAAGTCTATCATCAGAAAGGCCGCACCATCGGATACTCCACACGAAATTTTACTGTGTGATTGATTGCAGAGTTATTGCATCTGTGACAGGCATTGACAAATTACATACAAAATAAATCTTTAAATGTTTAAAAATCATTAAAAAAAATTAAATATGGAATAAATTAATATATGCGATCTTACTTAGAATCAGAAATTATAAAGTTCGATAATTTTTAACGAATGTAGGAAAATTTATACCAAATACAATTGTGTGCAATTCAAATGCATAATGTTAATAAATACTAATTTAAAAGACTGAAATTTTATATAAATAAACTGATTATGAACCTAAATATATTGATAATAAGTTATCAAAATACAATAAATTGATAAAAAGAATCTTACTAAGCACAAAATTGTACCATATAGAATAATTGTGATCGCATCACGTCGCTTTATCGTAATTTGAATTGAATTGAAATACATAAATACAATTAAATCAAAAAATTAAACAGCGAAAAATCCTTACAATGATTCAAAAAAATTTTAATAATAAAATAATCACGAACGCACCTAATTTCTTTTTACTAATTATAAATGTATAAAATTTTAACAGATCAAATGATAAACAGCAAATAAAACCTTTAAAATAATCTCCAAAAAAAAAAAAATAATAATCTTGTTTTGTGCAAAATTAAAGCATAAAAATGAGTGCAAACACATTTTTCTTCTATAATAGATTTATAATATTTCAGCTATAAATAAATCAAATAATACAACAGATAAAAAATGTTAAAATAAACGTTAAATATAAATAAATAAGGCAGTTCACCCATCCCTCTTATATCTTTATGCTCATCATGTTGCATGATTTTTACTCGAGCATCTCTAAATTTTGAAGTCGTCTATTTCCGAGTTTTGGATATACACGATAAAAATATGACTGTAAAAAATAAAGTTGACCATCAACATAAAGTGGAGATGAACTGGACCTAAAGATAGATCATTTAAGACTTCACTCATTTGTCTTAGAAAATAACTTGCATATCTTTCTTTCATTTTTTTCTCCTTTCACACTTGCAGCTGAAGAAAGGGAGAATGGTACTTCCGTGGATCCTCATAAGAAACTACTCACGAAGTGATTGCAAGAAGAGGACTTTGCAACGGCTTCTTTGGTTGAAAGGGAGAGTGCTTGTCGTGCTTTTGTAACATTCTTGCAAACTGTTTCACCAGCATTAATTCTTTAAATTATTATTGATTGCAATTTTCTAACTCAAATAGTAAAAAAAAAAAAAAATACAGATAAGTTTTGCCACATTAGTTACGCCGCAAATACAAAATAATGTTTTAAACCATAAATCAGCGTATCTCTGCAAAATTACAAGAATAATTTCATAGGTCAACTGCAAAATTTTTTTACAATGTACCAATTTTTTACAATAAACAATATATAATGGGTTTTGAAAAAATTTAACCAACAAATAATAATAATGAAAAATACTAGTGTGGAAAAAGGTGATATTTCCACACATCCCAATGAACACAGAAAATAATAACTAATTTAAATTTATGAAAAGTTGGCACCTAAGTATGGTTCATGCTACTCAACCCTTTATAGAATATTTATATTAATAATTCTTATTTAAAATAGGTTCTTCTTAAATCAAGTTTTAACTTTCATAAATATCATAATTTCTGAATAATCATCTATATATAACACATAAAAAGAGATAAAAATACACTAGCATTAACAATTTTTGAAAAGGATGGCATTATATGAATTAATAATTGATTTTTTCGAGAGTAGATATAACTTTCAATTCATAATAAACTACAATGTTTTGATTTAAATAATAACCATAAAAAAAAAGACTTTTAACGTAAGAATTTTATAATTCTTTTTTTTTTCTTTTAAATTATATCTAGACAGAAAGCTAATATTTACTTACCTTTTTTCATGGCCTCATTATGGTCAAAAGCATCAGAAAAATATGATAAAGTTTCCTCAAATAATGGGAAGCAACCAATATCTGGAGATGATGATACACATTTTTTAAGCAAATTTGATCTGCAAAAAAGTAACAACATTTGACTTTAACAATATACACATTTTACACAATGACATGGGAGAAAGGCTGCCAGAAATGCAAATTGGTTCTTTTTTTCTGTCACAAACCTGATACCTATTTGGTTAAAAGATCAACAAGAAACATCAAGTTGAAAAATTCCTAGTTGATCTTTGTGAAACAACATTTTCTCACATTCTGTCTATGAACAATATTTATGAATATAACACTTTTAAAAGACAATACTGCTACTATTGAGGGCAAAGTACTGAAAACCTCACAACCACAAGCGAGTCTTGTAAAAAAAAAAATCAAGACATTTTTCAAAAAAATTAGGACATTTTCAGACCTAGTAACTTTGTAGAAAAGTTTTCAGGAGTAAGGATTAAAAACATCCGGAGTTTTGGGAGTATAACGCGAAATAAATTTAGTTATATTTCTATGCATAAATTTAAAAACTATATAGACAGGGATGTGATTGACAAAAACACAAAAAAGAGGAAGTTTATAACTGTAGCATTAAACGTGCAAAAGAAAAAATGATATGAATTCAATAGCCAATCTGATAATGATTACATTATTATCTATTCAAATAAATATAAATAAATGGTAATTATGTTCTTAAATAAAATCTTGATTAAAATAATTNGGGTTTTAAAAACGCTTAAATACAAATCGCGATATTAAATTTTTAAATTGCGTGAATGGGAATTGATTTTCAAAAAAAGAAAAACATTTTCAGCAAAATATCATTTACTGCATAAAAATTTTTTCCGCGCGGAAATTTATGAAAAAAGAGCGGAAGATATGGAAAAATCTGAAAAAAGCGGAAATCAGCGGATCCGCGGAAGAATCACATCCCTGTATAGAAGGACATATTTAATAGAAAAATATTGAAAATGGAAAATTAATAGTTATTGAATAATATTTAGACCATCTTAGATTATTAAATCATGATTAAATTATCATTAATAGTTGGTAATAATTGACAGAACTATATTATTCATTTTTTTTCATCAGTTTCAAAAAAGTACAATTAATCTTAAACTGACAATATGAAATGAGAAAACTATGAAAGAATTGTAGACAGAATAATTATGAAGCAAATGAAAAATTATAAATTTCAATTGAACAAAAAATCTCCTCACGATATTGTTATACATAAATATCAATATTTTAATCTTTTTGTCCAGTCAAAACAACATAAGTATCTTTTTTAGCTTTCAGTAAATCTAGCTCAGTTAATGCTGCACCATAGCAGCATGTTTCAGTATTTTTACATTTCTCTGTTAGCAATGCCCCTCCAAGCTTGACAAAGCCAAACTGGACCTAAGATCAGTTAAATTTTTCTTTACTATTGAAAACACCCACTCATAAGCAGCATTGGTATGAGGCAAAATAAGTACGGACAGCATTATTGATGGTAATGTTTTATATTTCTTTGCCCCACTCATATCCACTAAACCAGATATAAAAGTCCTAGCTGCATCCCAGCGTTCAGCGGATAGAATCTCTTCATTTAGTGTGTCGATTTGGTATAGATTGAACTGTTGTTCAATTCTACTTTGTTGTTCCTCTGGAACAAAAAACAGATACAGAAAATAGTTCAAAGAAGCAAATTTTGCTCCATGGCTATATAGGCAAATTCACAGTACTTGTAAACTTCAGTGGTCAGGGGAAATTTTTTTAAAATATAAGAGAGTGCCTCGGTATAAAATTTTTTGATTGATAAATAAAATTGGCTCATTTCTTCTGCAGAAAGGTCTGAATCTTTTATGTATTTTCTTGTCTTGCCACCTATCACAAGTTCAGAATCATCTTTTTGATTTTTAGCTTTATTGAAGTTGACTTCAAAAACTGAACTTGCATTTGTTATACATGCTGGTTTTATAAATCTAGACAAAATATTGCTAAATAAGTTCATAAGTTCTCTCTGATATCTATGAATTAATGGAGCTTGCTGCTGCATCATCCTATTACATGAGTCAAACAATGGGATAGCAGATTGTAAAAAGAAAAGGTAGAGTTGAGTTGTTTTATCTTCAAAAATATTCTTCAATCATATGAAAGTTTCTGAAGAGCCATTCTCTTCCTCACAAAAAAAATTACTTTAAAGCATCCCACTTTTCTAAAAAACGATTAATGGTTTTGCCCATTTAAAGCCAACTCATAGCCTTATACTTGAGAACCTTGCTGTTTTCGAGGTTACACAGTTCTTTGCAGAACTTTAAAAGCTGAATTCTCTTTGCGCTTTTCTTCAAATACAGTCAGTATTGGTTATATGGTCAGCTCATGGGTCCAGAATATTATGACCATATAAGCGGTGTGACCATAGATGCAATAACCAAATCTATAGTATAGTTAATATGGCGTGAATATATTCTGGAATCAGAATGTATTTTTTAAACAAATAATTCAACTTTCAAAAACGTTTAAAAATTAATTATTAAGGTGCATAATAAGAACGAATGCAAAAATAATTTTTATACTTTTAGAAAAATTTAATTATTTACCTTAGCATATGTACATGTTCAAAAAAAATAAATTCCAATAAGCTTGTCTGTTTCTTCTTCTTGGTTGTTAAAACAACTTTTTCTAAGTCTCTGATAGTTTTTAAATGTTCATCTGCTGCATCTGAAGTTGCAAAAAAACACCTTAAGTCATCTATAGCCTTAAGAGCAGCAGCTGTTGATACAGACTTTTTATTGTATTCAGTATCATCCTCATCGTCACTTCCTTCAGCATTCAGATTTAAGACATTAGATACGATACCTTCCACAGTTGCTTCACAATTAGTGAGGACATCAACGTCTATTTGGGAATACAAATTTTCGTTCGGCATTGCATAGCCTCGGTTTCAAAGATTTTCTGCCAATTCAGCTAATGGAAGATCTTCCCCGCAAGGTCTTCTAATGATACCGAAGAGTCTGGAGAACTGTGGAACCCCGCGTGACAGAAACAATTTTCAATAGTTTTCGACAGCACCATGTTCAAGCTTTGGTCAATATAGAACAGTGCATTCAAAACTGAAACGTGAAATTCTTCTTTTCTGTCTATGGCGGTGATCATATCCCATAAAAGAAGCTTTCTATACATAGACTTGAAGCTTTGAACTATGCCTTGATCTAGAGGCTGCAACACACATGTGCTGTTTGGAGGCAAAAATATGAGCTCAATCGATTTCAAGCCCTCATCAGGACAGTGAGCAGTGCAGTTATCAGCAATCTATGCAACTTTTCTGTTTTTCTTTGAAAAATGTAGGTCCCACCTTCTGAGAGTTTTTTCCCAGATCGTTCTGGTCATCCATGCTTTGGAATTGGCATCATACAAAAGAGGCAAAGATTTACAATTTTTAATGCATCTCGGTTTCAGAAATGTTCCAATCACCAAAGGAATCATTTTCTCCGAACCATCCATGTTTGCATATAACAAAACTGTTAAGCGTTCCTTACTTTTCTTTCCCCCTATACATTTTTCTCCTTTGAAGCAAAGGGTTCTGTCGGGTAAGATCCTATAGAAAAGTCCACATTCATCGACGTTGAACATGTTAGCAGGTTCATATCTTTCATGAATATCTCGCAACATTACATCTTTCCATTCTTTTAAAGAAAAATGCTAAATGTTGCTGCTAAAATGTTGTTTAAAGTTGTTCGCAGTATAGAATTTTCTTTGGCAAAAGTAGCTTTTGAAAGTTCAGACTTTTTAAACTTTTCAACTAATTCATTTTTTCCCGATATTGTTAAATTCTTTCTTTTCGAAGTCATAATGAAAGCATGGATACGTTATTTGCTCAGTAATCCAATAAAAATGTTCTTTTTTCTCAACTTCAACTCCTTTTCAAGCTCTGAGAGATAACTTCGAACGATCAAAAGACCTTTGCCCTTGGGCGGGGAAAAGAATGCGAGTGGTCAAATGAGGAGAGGGTAAGGTCATCATTGAATGCAAGAGATAAGAGGGTAGGGTGACGAAATAGAGGGGGAAATTCCAGTTCTCTCCGAGGGTCAAAGGAAAGTTTACCTTCTGGTCATTTTTCTTGGCTTCCTTTCTAAAGAAATGTCTTAAAATGTATCTTTTTTCAAAAGAAAAGAAAACTGACCATATAACCGGTAACTCAAAAAATAGGATGACCATATAAGCGGTGAGATTTAACACGTGTTTTCTATGAAGTTAGATGGGACTTTAGAAAATTGACCATATAAGAGGGGTGACCTTATAAGAGGGAGACCATATAGGCGTTACTGACTGTAGTAGTACACATCTATCAAAAGACTTTCTACATCAAAACTGACATTTTTTTGCAGCTAGATGAATTAAGTGACAAGCACAACCATGAATGATGACATTAGAAGTCTTTTTTTTGTAAACGATCCCACTGTTTTATGTTGACCCAGCATTACCGAAGCATTGTCAGCGGAGAAGGCGATGCAGTGTTCTCAGGGAACACTATATTTTGTTAACACACTATGAGAGAGTAAAAAATATTTTCACCTGTACCATCCTTGTCTGATTTCGGGAGAGAGAAAAGGGTTGTCTTAATTTCACCGCTAGTATCATCCAAGAATCAGGTATGAGATTAGCCAAAAGGCAAAAAAGCTGAATTTCCATGATAGTAAATTTTACGCAAGCGCAACCCTTTAATAATAAATTCCTGACAGTTTAAGGTAATAAATAATGTGTTGACTAGGAGTGGGCTATAAATCGATGTATCGAGATATATCGATTTAACGCATATATCGGCAAGACGATACAGCGACTTTCATTCAAGGCGATGCATCAGAAATCTGATTTAAGCCGTCGAGTAAGGACAACAAGCGCAAAACGATATAGCGATATAAGACACGCAAGGATATAGCGATATAAGACTTTTCTCTTACGTTCCGATGTCGACTTGCGCTATGGAAGACGATGTTCGTTTCGTTATGTTGAAATGGCCTTGATTGGTGAGTTGTAGAATCAGAATCAGAGTTTTGAGAACACATATCGTTATATCGCATGTTCCTTT